ACCTTCCTCACCGATGCATTACATCGCTTCAATGTCAGCACCGCTAGCAACAGATGGATTCTGACACAGCTTTTGTCTGGAGTGATATTTGTACATGTTAAGAGTTAACTTGTGCCCTGAAGCTGTTAGTGTCATTTTTTCCCCCCCTCGTCTGAGCAGTGATGACAGCCGCAGCGGTGAAGGAGGCTGGTGTCAGCTGACCCCGCTTTCAGCCAGTAACAGGAAATGTGATCTTTACAGCAGCTCCCTGAAAAACAATCTCGCTATTGTCAGCTTGACTCTCCTGTCCCTCTGCCCCTCACAGGGTGGGGTCGTGGGGGATGCAAAAATACCTCACAATGAACATCTTCCCATCATTCTTGTCAGCTAACCCATAACCATGTTCATTTATGTTGCCCTGCAGGTAAATCAATTCCAAAGAACTGGCAAAAAAATCCCATCGGTACACTACAAAATGCAGTTGTTACTTTAAGGAGTTAGTTCTGACCATGACAACATACTCGGGTTGATTTAGTCATTTTAAACAATATTTTTGACATGGGACAGAAACCAAACAGACCCAACTTTAAGTATTGAAAACCAGCAGTTCAACAAACATAAAAAACCAACACATATGACAATGGTTTAGTGATAATCAATTAGTTAACTACTAACCAAAAGTTAAAGTGTCCTCCTGTTGTAGCAATATAACAAGTGCAATTTAAGTCACATGATCCACAGCTAGTTTACACAGGCCCAAAACATCTAACTAGTGGTAGAAACTCAATTAGTTAACTAGTCAGCACAACCCCTACTAACCAGGAAACCGAATCTTCCACCAACTGCCACAATACAGAACAAGCGCAACTAAAATCACATGGTCCACAACTAGTCAATACAGGCTCAAAACATCTAACAGTGGTAGAAAGAAACAATTACTTAACTAGTCTGTGCAACTATTTAATAACCAAAAATCTGAAAATTCTTCCAGCTGCCATCATACAGAAGAAACATAATTTGAGTCAAGTGATTTACAGCTAGTCAATACAGGTCGAAAACATTTAACTAGTGCTAGAACTAACCAATTAGTTAACTATAGTCAGCGTAACTCCTACTAACCAGGAAACTGAATCTTCCTCCAACTGTCACAATACAGAACAAGCACAACTTATATCACAGGGTCCAAAACTAGTCAACACAGGCTCAAAAAATCAAATAGTCACTGAACTAATTGATTAGTTAACTAATCGGTACAGCAATTTACTAACCAAACAACTGATATTTCTGCCAGCCGCTGTGTAACCTAACGTAGAATAATGTGTAGTCATATTACACAATATTTTTGACATGGGACAGAAACCAACTTTCTGTCCCATGGACATGAAAACTAGAAGTTAAAATTCAATAAACTTTAATAACTAAACCATAAGTGCAAATCGATTGGTTAACAACAAACAATTAGAATATTCCTCCTGTTGCCACATAACAAACACAATTTAAGTCACATGATCCACAGCCAGTTGACTCAGGCCCAAAACATCTAATCAGTGGTAGAACTAACCAATTAGTTAACTAGTCAATGCAACCCCTAATAACCAGGAAAATTATATTTCTTCCAGCTGCCGTGTAACCTAACATTGTCAGTTTAGTCATATTAAACAACATTTTTGACATGGGACAGAAACCAAAGAGTTTGGTTCCTAAAAAATGTGGCCCCTAAAAACCAGCAGTTAAAATAAACTTAAATAACCAACACATATGACACTGGTTTAGTGCTTTACACACTATATGGTAGGTTGTGTGAATATTAGATGACAGCCAGAACATTTCTAAGACATTAAGATGCACTAAAGCTTCAGGGAGAGTTGTATGTACATGTCAAAACCACCGATGACTTTAGAGGAATTCACTCTGAGGTAGTTTACACAAACTGTGGTTTAGTTACTGAATAGGCCCGCTAGTTCCATTGCATTGCCCAATATCATCTGTATTATAAACTATGACGAAACTGTATCAGGTCTCATGCACTACATAAATTGTGAGAAGGACAAAAGGGCGGCACTTCTACAACAGACCATTCAGCGGGCTTCACGAGCGGTCCGTGGGGCCAGGTTACAGCCAAACAAAAGAGCGGGAGCGGTGTCAGATCCCTCTCACAGGCACGGCTGAAACGTTATCCCCGCGCCACTGGCCATGACCTCATCGTGTTGTTTTTCCCGCAAACGCTCGGCCCGCTGTGGCGCACGCAACTCAAGCCGGGCACAAGCTACAGGACTCTGCTGCTTCAAGCAATACCTAATGCCAAGCAATGTCAAATACAAATACGTTTATGTTTGTTTACACTGCCATCTGTTCTGTGAATGTAATCAAAATATTGAATTATTTATCAGTTGATAAAATCAGTCTGTTAGGTTAAATGTCTCAGGCATTTGCATAGTTAATTAATCATTACATCTCATGTTCTGTTGAGATTGACTTTATTGTCTTTATGGGGTCCAATCGACCTCACTGATATATGGGTTAAATTAATAGGCTAAAAGCAATTCAAAATTGAACATTTAAAGTTTTGTTTCTAATCAAAAAGATTATGAAAAGACATGAATATCTGACTATGAACTGCCTATCAAAAGTTTGGGAGCAGCAAGTTTTTAAATGTTTTGAAAGGAGTCTCTTATGTTCATCAAGGCTGCATTTATTTGATCAAAATACAGTAAAACGGTAACAAATTTGTGAAATATTATCGCAATTTCAAATAATTGTTTTCTATTTTAATATATTCTAAAAAGTCATTTATTCCTGTGATGTAAATCACGAGATTTTTCAGAAATCATTCTAATATGAAACATTCTTGAAGAAGTTCAAAAGTGAAATCTTTGTAACATTCCAAATGTTTTACTGCCACTAATTTAATCTTTGCTGCATAAAAGTATTATTTTCTTACAGAAAAAAGCATCAACATATTTTCAACATAAGTCTATTTATTAATCAAATTTATATTTGCCTTAAATGGCCTTGGCCAAGCAGAACATGAGGGTTAATACTGTAAATATGACCCATACAGTCTTTGCCTTGCATGTCGTCAATGAACTTAAGTACACTAATGTGGAACAATGAATAGTCAAGCAAGTCACCTAATCTCCATGTACTGGAGAGTTCAGGTTATATAGACGCTTCAGAAGAGTCTGTTACAACTGATGCAATCAGGCGTAATGCAGCACAAACAACATCCATTCTTCACTGCCAATCATAAATCCAACACATCTGAAATATGAGATCTGCCGTATGTTTTGATTCTGTGCATCCTACATTCAGCTGAGCTCTCCTCCCAGTGAGTTGATTAGAAGCTCCTATTCAGGCTTTGCTCAGATTTCCTCAGAGGACATACAGACAGTATATGCACAGAGACTAAAAATAGCACTCAGAATCACTCTACTCAACATTACAAAAGTACAAAACAAGAAATTAAGTACCGTTCAAATGTTTGGCATCAGTAAGTAAGGTCAGTATGAAAGAAAGTAAATTGATCAAGACTTTTACATTGTTATAAGGACATTTCTGTTTGAAATAAATGTTATTCTTTTGAACTTTCTATCCATCAAAGAATACTGAAAAACAAGTAGAGTCACTGTTTCCATGAAATTAGTAAGAAGCATAACTGTTTTCAATATTGATAATAATAATAAATGTTTCTTGAGCAGCAAATCAGCATATTAGAATGATTTCTGAAGGATCATGAAGACTGGAGTAATGATGCTGAAAATTCAGCTTTGCATTACAGAAATAAATGACATTTTAAACTGTATTCACATAGAAAACAGTAATTTCAAATTGTACAAATATTTCACATTATTACTGTATTTTTTGGTGAACATCAGCACAAGAAACTTCTTTCAAAAACATTACAAAATCTTTCAAACAATTGTGCACAATGGCTCAAAAAAATGACTGCTGAAAATTGAGAAACAGAATCTTTATGCACACTTTGTGGTTGTCAAATATGAAACATATCGCTAGTTATAGTGTAATTCTCTACACCTGCGGTTACTCTGCCAGAACACCTGTGTGAACTGACCTCATACATCCACCAAAAATCACCTTGTTTTGTTAGAATTTAAAAAACAAAATGTTCTGAGAAAGCCTGCAGCATTTCCTTGCAGGTGCCACTTGCTTTGCCATTTAGTTATTTAGTGCAATGACATTCAGCCATTTTTAAGCGCTCCTTAATACTTTTTTGGACCCTTATAAGGCTGCATCACCTATAAAATTTCATGAATGTTCGTGAAGTAAATAGCCTAGATCGGGTAAGTATTAGGGATGGGCGTATCGATCCGAAGTATCGATATATCGATACTGACGCGAGTATCGAAAGTATCCATACTCAAACAAAAAATATCGATACTAACGTGCGCTTTATTTAGTTATTTAAATTTAACGTTGAAAGATAATATTGATCATGTTCTCTATTCTGTAATGTTAATAGAAATCATACCCTGTCAGAATAAAAAGGTTGCATTTTATGCATGCAACAGCCATTCACTGGCAGTCCCTAATGGCAGTACAAAAATGTTTGCACTAAATCAAAAGTTCAAATGTTACAAATAAGTTAGGATATTAATGTTGTAATACTGGTAGCACAAATATAAAAATGTGATGATATATGTTACAAAAAAGTAACAATTTTGAAATACGTTGATGGTTGTATTTTTTTGTATTTATTTTTATAATTTTTATAAGGGTTTTTATGTGTAGTAGGAACACTAGAATGGGATGAAACAAGAGTTTAAAATAGCTGAGCTGAGATATATGCACATTCTGATGACTGCATTTCATAAATTTCATAATTTAAAAGTTTAGTGCAGAAGTATCGAATCGGTATCGATATCGACGATACTGCCTTGAAAAATATCGGTATCGTATCGAAAACAAAATAAGGGGTATTGCCCATCCCTAGTAAGTATGGCAAAGGGTGTCATCTTCTCCAATCATACAGTTCAAGCTCCTCTGAAATGAAGGTAACGTACCTGCTGCCACTCCCCAGCAGTGAGTGTCTCTCTGATCTGACTCGACGATCAGTCCCAATGCACAACTTCCATCTGTGGAACGAGAAGAAGTGGAGATGTTTGAGGAGAAAGCGCTCGTATATACAATGCTTAACAATGCTTATCAGAGAACAGAAATAAAAACATAAATGTTTGAGTTATTTCACAATAAACAAATTGAAATTGTAACCTACATAGTTTGTGCAATTACAATTATTTAAATTGAACGTTGAAAGATAATATTGATCATGTTCTATTCTGTAATGTTAATAGAAATCATACACTGTCAGAATAAAAAGGTTGCATTTTATGCATGTAACAGCCGGTCACTGGCAGTCCCTTATGATAATGAACCATGGTTTTACTAAAGTGACCATAGTTCAACTGTAGTATTTATAGATTTGCATCATGTGTAAACAAAAAACATATTTGAACCATGTGTAAACAAAAATATAACCTAATAAGTTACAATTAAGGTGTATTGAATGTTAAAAAGTGTTTTAAACATAAAGTTAAGTGCTCATCATTACCCATTTTACTCGTAGTAATTTAATACATTTCATAATTTAAAAGTTTAGTTCAGAAGTATCGAATCGGTATCGATATCGACGATACAGCCTTGAAAAATATCGGTATCGTATCGAAAACAAAATAAGTGGTATCGCCCATCCCTAATGGAAAGTAGCTAAACCCTGCCTGAAAAGTCGCTAAATGTCGCTAGATGACGTCATACGCTAATTAGCATATTCATGACGTCAGTGCGTCGTATTTTCTTGCCTCCCTGTGCTCACGTACTGCATTTTAATGCAGCCAGATTCTCAATAAAACTGTTTTTATTAATATATTTTACTGTTTCTGTTACCTACGTTACCTGTTACCTACGAGATCAAAGGCAGATATCGCGTAATTCACACTCACATGCTGTGCTGCTGATTAACATGATATGACTTCAGTTGTGTTGCCTTTATATAAAAATAAATATGATGAACAAGACACTCAAAGTGCTTGCTATTTAATTCCATACGAAAGGCGTATTTATCATCCATTTTTACTTTAATACAAACATGTATTTTATATTTTTATAGAAACATGACAATCACATTATCTCACACAGAGATCGCACTGTCATAGTGTTTGGGAACATTCATGCATAATTTAAATACATAATCACATGAAATCAGATAGAAAATAACATATTGTAGAAGAGAACACAGCATCACGGTTGTCTGAACCAATGAGCATTAAAATAAGTGGCATCGCCCATCAGTCACCGCTGTCACCAGAAACCGAATAAAATGAATTAATTCAAAAAATAATCAAATGGAAGATTCTCAAAGCTCCTTAAATGAAAGACTAGCGGTAACAGTGAGCACAGTGACCTAACTATGGTATTTTGGAAGAGATTGTGGTTCCCAGGGTAAATTCTGGGGCTGATATGAACCGTATAGGCTCAGTGCGCTGCTTAACTTAACTTACCTAGACAGTTTTGGCCATCACTAAACGCCTAAAAATGCTGTCTAGGTAGGCAAGTCACACTGTTTTAAGTCAAACTGCACACAAACTGAAAGGTTTTGAGTTAAAGACGCATTTCAAGACTCGAGTCAGTATAGAGAGCTGCAAAGTTTCTCGCGACAGACGACTTTATTTGTTTGTTTCTTTGTCTGTTTGGGTTTGTTTCTAAGCATATTCTTGATATGCATCAGTTTCACCAAGACAGTGCACGTCATTATTAAATCTAAAGACAGAGAGGTTGGCATAAATATGTAAATAATTAATTAATAGCGAGCAATACTTAACAATAGACTGACGCGTCGCTATCAAAATAAGCGACAGCAAAATCATGCAGAGCTTTCAAAATGCATACTGAAAAAGCCATGCAAACTGACTTCCTTATAAAGACTAAAGCAGCAGGACACAGTTTATAATGTGAAAGACAAGCCTGTACCTTATGTGAAAGATAAAAGCATGCAACAGATCGTTATTCCCTTCTTCTTCTTTTTGCAGAAGACTTTACGCCTTGTTTTTAAGGTCCAAATGCTTCCTCTGTTAACGCTTGTCTTAATCCTTAGTTAGTAGTCTGACATCCATTAAAACGACCAGCAGCGATGCTCGGCAGTGGTGCGAGAGGGAGAAAGTGAGTTATTACAAGTATCTTGGTAAGCCCCGCCCCTGAGGCGGACGAAAATAGAAATGTGGGCGGGGTTCTCCAAAAATAGCGTGCGACGTCTCACGCCTGCGTTCTCGCATTGTTCCTTCTCTGTTATTTCATTGGCTGAGGCTGCAGCCACATCCACACTGCACTCTAGTGTCTACTTCAAAAGTTCTGTGACTACTCACCATCTAAACTAAACCGCGCCATGCTCCAGTAGCAGGTGCTGGAGTCGATGGAAATGAACAACAAAAGAAATGAAAATAAAATAAAATTATAAAATATAATAATAATAACAATGTACTGTCAGACTGAGCAGTATGATTTCTGAAG